TCTCCAGTCTGAGCCCCGTTGCTCTTGGGGGTGTTCTGGAGTGCCGCTATCGGAAGGTCACCAGGTTTTTCCCTGCATTTTTGGGTGGGGGACACCACCTTCGCCACTCCCGTCCTCTTCTCCGGCATGAACGGCTCTGGCCTGCCTTCCACGGGTGGTGCTCCCGGTTTTCTCGGCTACGGGTGCACGATACCCTGGCCGCCTCCAGCGGCTCCGTTCTCATAGGCTTGCGTCATGGCCCTTCCGCGCCTATGTACTGCAGGTGAGGAGGTGCGATCTGGCGTCTCCTTCGTCCTGACGCTGTTTTGTTTTTTGGGAGTAGGAATGGGTGTACATACGTACTTGAGAACGTAGAACATACAAACCGAGGTGCCTGCTGTGGGGCTATTGTCCATATGTGGCAGCTCTTGTTCTCACCACCCGATTCCTTCCTCGGTTCACAGGTGACTGCAGGAGGCCTCTTAGCCCATACGAGGCGGCTCCTGACTGTACTCATCCTGCCCCTCTCCTATGTGTGTCCAACCATGCTTGAGTTCGGGGCCCCACCTCCACCTTGTTCCATGGTGCAATGGTGGAGGTGCCTGTTCGGTGGTACATTTTTCTGTGTCGAGGGTGTTATGTGCTCACCTAATTGTGCTTGTGGGGTTGGGCTCTGGCTCTTTGGTTCTGCCTCTCACTTGTCATTCGACTGACGTGCCGGGATTCTGAGCCTCTCTCGTCTCTACACTTGGAACTGTGTATGGGGTCAGCCCAGGTATGGGCTGCCTAATGTGCCTCGTCGCTGCCTTATGTATTCCATCTGTTACCTGTGATACTGCAAACATTTCTTCTAACGTCCCTGTGGCTTGGTTGGGTGCTCGGTTTCCACCTGTGTCCCTTTGTTTGTGTGCCACCCGTGTTACAGTTTATCTTTATCTACCCTGTCACTTCATCTGGGAATGTGGTGACGTTTTGCTGCGGTTTTGATCCTGCGGCTGCGTGTGGGAGTATGGTTGTGGCGTTTTGTTCGGCCCTTCCGTGCTCCTTCTGGCACCTTCCTTGTTTGGGTTTTTTATTCCCTTGCTTTTTCTGGGGCCCTCCTTCCTTGCCGGTCTTGCTGTGACGGGCTTGGTTTTTCCATGTTCCTTGAATTCTCTGTCCTAACCTCGTTGTCCTCTCCTAGGTGAGATGGCGGGGGTTAAGCTTTGGCTCTTCGTCTTGCCCCTCGCCTATCATTCGCTTCTGTTCAACTTCCAGAGCCTACTGGGCTCTTCTCTGCACTGGACACTGGGTGTGGGGTTGGCCTCCACCACATCCCTTCCTTGTGCATTCCTCTCATCTTCCTGCTTCCCTCTTGTCCCTGGCCGCTGGTGCTAGGGCGTTTCTGCTGGTCTTTTTCTCATTTCCTCCTTCACACTGTTGTGTGTTTTGTTTGTGCCTTTTGGCCTTCCTGTGGCTGGGTTTGGGTTCCTGTTTTCCTGGCTTGCTCTGCCTGTTTTTTTTTTTCATGGTCTTGTGATGTCCCTTCTCTGGTGTCTCATGTCGGACCCGTGGTTTCTGATCCCCTGGCGAGCTTGCTCACGTTAGGGAGTTTTCTGTTCGGCGGACGTTCCATCTTCTTCTTGCCGGCTTGGGCTTCCGGCTCTGCTTCGTTGGAGGTTGCACCCGAGATCTTCCTGCGGCTCCGCCTCCTCCTAGGCTCGGATGACCCTTGGCAGGGCTGCTTAAGTTCTGCCTTGGGTATCTCGTGTTCGTTGGTGGTCAAGTGGCTTTGTTGTTGGTGTCCCACCTGTGTGCTTCTTGGTGGCAGTATCGGGTGTTTTGGCGGTCCTTCCTTTTCCTTCTGTCCCTTCCTCGGTGGCTGCGTTTGTTGGCGTCAGCTTGGCTTTTCTGTTGGGGGTTGGGGGCCGTCGACTTGCCCCATACTGTCGCCTTGTTTTATGCGCCGCTGGCGGAGCCGCTTCGGCTTGCTTTCGGACTTTCATCTGCGCCGTTCGTAAGCTGTCTCGTGCTTGTTTCACCTCCGGCCTGTTCTTGCGCCGCTTGAGCCGTCCTGGTCATTGGACAGAGTGCTCTCTTCTTTCTTCTCGTTTTCTTGGGGTCCCCTTTGGTTCCGGTTTGTTTTTCGATGGCTCTTTTCCAGTTGGCATTGGCCTCTGGGGGTCAGGTAGGTGAGCTTCATGCTTTCCTCCTGCACGGGTTTTCTGCTCCTTCGGTTGGGGTGATTGGTTTGGTCGTCTGCTGCCTTCTCCTTATTTTCTGGCGAAGAATGAGACTGCTGCTTTCCGGAGGGGTCCCTGGGTTGTTGATGATTGGTTGGTTGGGCCAGGGATGCATTTTGTTTTTGTCCGGTTGCGGCTCTCCGCCGTTATTGGCACACCACAGCTTCTGGGAACGTGGACGCGCTTTGGGTTGCTCCGGTTCCCTTCTTCCCTGTTCCAGGGTGCAGGTCTCTCAGGTCGTCCACAGGGTTCTTGAGGCTTGCCGGCCTGCGGTCTATCTCTGTGCCCATGACGTCCGCAAATTCGCGGCTCTTGCCACCGTCTTTGGTATTGTGTCCTGGGAGGACACTCGGGCACGGGGAATTTGGCGGTCGAGTAAGGTCCTTGGCTGCTCGTTACCTTGTACACGGTCCTGGGCTCAGTCGGGCCTGTGTCGCTTTGGGTCGGCGGATGCGACCTGTTGTCTCTACTTCGGGTTGAATAATGTGCGGCGACCGCCTCCTGGGTCTGTCCCTATTCTTTTCCTCTGTGGGCAGTTAGCTCCGGGGAGCCGTAGGGACTACCCCTAGAAAACCAGCATTGAATGTAATGAAATGCCATTTTCTGGGTGAGTCCCGGAGGCTCCCCTGGATTCCCTCCCTCCCTCCGGTCGCCAGTTTTTCACGTGTTTTGACATCCAGCCTCAGAACTGGGGTGTGGATCGCCGGCGTGGTAGGTCTGGGGCTACCCCTTTCCCCTCCCGGGGAATGGGGGAGCTGCACAGACAGCAGCACGATGACGGGTGACGTCATACTAGTTTGCTCGTTTTTGTTTGGGGGAGTTCTATCCACTCGTTCGGTTTTTGGTTGCAATTTTCACCAGAATAGAGGTTTGTTTTGGGACGCCTACCTTTCTGGGTGCCTAACCCGGTCGATGGCAGACATAGAATGCTTCCAACCACACGGGGGTTTCTATAGGCCATTGCTCCCCTTGCTTCTCTAGAGGGGGCCAGGTTCTGGCTCGTGGTCCCTGGTAGGCCCATAAGAACTCCGTACACATGACTGATGCCAAAGTCTGACATTAGCATATCAGCCTGGTAAGCTCCAGGGAGCCTCTGGGACTCACCCAGAAAATGGCGTTTCATTACGTTCAACGCTGGTTTTTTTCCAAATCTAGATTTTATGATTTTGAATGCTTGACGGTACCTGTTAATTTGTTTTGCCATTCATTTGTCTGTATCTTCATGTCATTTATATTAATAAAACTTCACTAAATTGCAGTGTATTTTGACACTTAAACAAATGATTTTTAGAGCGAGAACTTCCTATATTTCCTGCATCATGTCAGTCTCCCAACCATCATAGCCTCCAGTAACAAGAATAACACAAAAATCATCATACTTTACCAGCATGGCAGTTTTGTCCAGGCTATAGTTGACCATGAAGTTAAACTACGTTGGTCAGTACCGGTATTCATCTCTGTTACGTAGGTCAACCTCGTCAACTGTTAATGCAAAACCCCGTGGAATTCTGATGGTAAAAGGGTTATATTTAGTTAAGAAACTTAATTGTAGCAAAAAGCTGTACTATATTCTGTAAATATTCTTAACATAATTTGTAATATTTTGTGGTGAGCTTTAGATGCAAGTGTGAATGTAATAAAACTATATTTAAGTGGCTAACTTCATTTTGATGCATGTTTAATTAAAGAGCACCCACAGAATGCCATAGTACATTTTATTTATATTACACATTAGTTTTAGTGATTTTATTTATAAATTACATTTTATTTAATTATTTGTTAATTGCATTTCCATAGTTTACCGAATTTAGTTGCTATAAAGTATTGTATTTGAGTTAATGCCAAAAAATTTTAGCTTTTAATTGGTTGACTTTATTTTGTTGGTTATTGATGAAAGTTAAACAAATTAGGGTTCCCCACATCTCTTCATTCATTCATCCATGCAAAGCTGACTGAATATTATTTATATTTTGTCATAACTTTTAACAACAATAAGGCATTAGTGCACCTTGTGCAACGTTGTGCATGATGAGTGACGGATGGCCTCCAGGTGTGCACCATTTACTTGCATTTCATTCTATTTTATTTGACAATTTTTGTTTTATTATTTGTTTGTAAGCTGTTGTATATATATATATATATATATTTCTTTTTTTTTTTTTTTTTGCATAGTTAAACACATTATAAATACAGTTTTTTTATATAGAACTTTATATAGCTTTTCATCTGGGAGGAGGGTCCCTCACCTCTCACTTGACACAAGTCCAGCAAAGCCTTAGAGACCTCTGAGACCTGCACTTGCCCCCCCAGGGGCCAGGACTAGAATGTGGCTCTCTACTAGGTGATGGCTCCTCTCTCTTCACTAAGGGGAGCTTGGACAACACAGAAACACAAAATTTAAAAAAAAAAGTTTGAATACAATAAAACAAGTCACATCTTGAAGAAAATTAATACCTTAAGGTCCTTGCTTCATGTTGGCAAGGGTGGGTCTCAGATGCTTGGTGGTATTCCTAACACTTGGCAGTACTGTACCATTGTGTAAGCTTGGGAAGCTACTGAAGCTCCACCAGAAAGGAATGTTTCATTATATTCAACGCTTTTAGCCTGTTTTTTAATTTATGCTGATATATTGCCTTGACTCACCTCATTAATTTGTGCCTTTGAGAACCATTGTGTAATTAGTTAAAGTTAATACTCATTGCTGAATGATTGTTTAAATTTAACAAATAAATTTTGTAATAAGCTTTATAATACTGTATAGTGGAAAACATACGTCACTAACTGTAATGAATTTTTCAGGACTTCATGTTCTTCGAGAAGCAAGGAAACAAAGAAAATGATGGAATTGGGATGCTTGGCTAAACGTTTTGGAGGAAGAAGTCAATGAGACGTACACTTTTTTTATCTGCTTCTTTCTCCTCGCCTCAACATATTGGAATTATGAACATTATTTTACCATTCAGGGAAGAGTGAATTCTTATTTGCTTTTGCATTTTCATTATTGTATCATTTATTATTAATGTAGTTGTTAATATTATTAAAGAAGACAAGATTTTTGACACCTGTATCCAACTTGATTCAAGAAATGTATCGTTAATATTAAATTTAGGAAATCATATATTTTTCTTCTACTTGTGGCTGTTAGTGTCTTATTATTAAATATTAATTTATGCAGTACAGTACATTACAGCATAAACATAGGTGCAACTATTGAAAACAAATACTATAATATCAGTAACATCAGTTAAGGGTAAATTGAAAATTTACACATACTGTACAGCATATGAAATAATGTAAATTAATATGTTGCAAAAACTCATTATCTTGGTATGGATCACTGAATTATATTTGATATTTCTAGTATGATGATGTATAGAGAAGTTGCATATTAAGTTTATTTGTAATACATTATGATAGTTTTTTTAAGTAAAAGAATTTTGCCTACAGTATTATTTATTTACACACACAGACACACATTATTTATATATATATATATATATATATATATATATATATATATATATATATATATATATATATATATATATATATATATATATATATATATATATATATATATATATGTGTGTGTGTGTGTCGTACCTAGTAGCCAGAACGCACTTCTCAGCCTACTATTCAAGGCCCGATTTGCCTAATAAGCCAAGTTTTCCTGAATTAATATATTTACTATAATTTTTTTCTTATGAAATGATAAAGCAACTCTTTTCTCTATGTATGAGGTCAATTTTTTTTTATTGGAGTTAAAATTAACGTAGATATATGACCGAACCTAACCAACCCTACCTAACCTAACCTAACCTATATTTATAGGTAAGGTTAGGTTAGGTAGCCAAAAAAAGCTAGGTTAGGTTAGGTTAGGTAGGTTAGGTAGACGAAAAAACATTAATTCATGAAAACTTGGCTTATTAGGCAAATCGGGCCTTGAATAGTAGGCTGAGAAGTGCGTTCTGGCTATTAGGTACGATATATATATATATATATATATATATATATATATATATATATATATATATATATATATATATATATATATATATATATATATATATATATATATATATATATATATATATATATATATATATATATATATATATATATATATATATATATATATATATATATATATATATATATATATATATATATATATATATATATATATATATATATATATATATATATATATATATATATATATATATATATATATATATATATATATATATATATATATATATATATATATATATATATATATATATATATATATATATATATATATATATATATATATATATATATATATATATATATATATATATATATATATATATATATATATATATATATATATATATATATATATATATATATATATATATATATATATATATATATATATATATATATATATATATATATATATATATATATATATATATATATATATATATATATATATATATATATATATATATATATATATATATACATACATACATACATACATACATACACACACACACACACACACACACACACACACACACACACACACACACACACACATTGTCATTGTTAAGAATTTTTCAAAGCGTTATACGACAAAGAGTGCTGGGAAGACGGGACACCACGAGCGTAGCTCTCATCCTGTAACTACACTTAGGTAATTACACTTAGGTAATTACACACACACACACACACACATATGCAGTATATTATAATATATTATATATATAAATAATATGAGTGAGAGAGATATATAGAGAGAGACAAAGACTTTTCTATGATTTTGATTTCATTTAAATGGTATATATCATGACCATTAATAATAATAATCCAGTAATAATAACAATAGTATTTTTATGATATTAATTATTATTATTGTCATTATCTCCTGGAGTTATATTTACTATGGAAGTGTGCTGTGTTATATACTGGTATAGTATTGGCATGCCATTATGTTAATGTAGCCAAACCATGAAAGATGAATAAGATGCCTGTGTTATAGAGTATATAAATGTTACTAAACAAATTTGTTAAGAATTTATCAAAGTTGATTGAATATGATTTTCTAACTGGGGGGTTGCCTGGTTATTGTAACAGAAGGGGGGGAGGGGGTTAGGAAGAAAACGAAAAATTGGAATTAGTGGATGAAAGGAGGACCAGTTAGGGAGGGAGACGTTAAGAGATGACAGAGGCAGGTGGGAGGGAGAGGGGAGTTAAGATATTTAGTGGAAATGTAAAGTTTGAGAAAGATTTTGGGATAAAAAGAACGGAATATAAGATTGTATTAGGGATGTAATGAAAGGATTAGTAGGAAAGAGAAAGAGAAGAGGGTTGAGTTGTCACCATCCATATAACATATATATATATAGACAAGAAATGGAACTTGTCTCTTAAACCACAGTTATCACACTGATGATAACTTTTAATAACATTTGAACATTAATAGAAAATATTGCCTCAAAGTTCTTGGATAATATTCATAGACTTTTAAAACTTGGAAATTGCCATTTATTTTTGCAGTCATTTTTTAATACTACTTTACATGTCCTCTTAACATTGATTAAATTCTACAAAGGAGTAGTCACTGAACCAAAAGTCGAGAACTCAATACGGCTGACTGCCCCTCGAGTTTCACAAAACATAATCATGGAACACAGAGTACATCACCTCACAGATACTCATCAGGTTCAATATCCCAATCGGATGAACTTCATAGGCTACAACAAGTTGTACGGTTTGAAGACTTGGCTCACACTGTGTCCACATAATCTCCTCTCCGGTCAGAGGACTCACACTGTCCTAGCTCCTTACTCTGTGTTCTTGCTCCATTTTCTAACCCCCTCACTCAACTTTTCCCATCGTTTATACCCCCTGGATCCCCTTTGTTACCGTTCGATTATCAGACGAAGCCCGTAACTTCTCGAAAAGGGATCAACTCGCCAACCTTTGATAACTGTCTAAGGTTGAGGTTATGTAATCTTACTTCACCTGCCTGGGGCAGTCTTGTGGATTAAGCACCCTACAAGTCTCCACTCAGGCCACCTTCACAACTGTTACATTATTGACAATTTTCTATCTTCTGCTGGGAATGTTTGTATATGAATGCTTGTACAGTATTGTAGTTGATATACAGTAGAACCTCGGTTTACGAATTTAATGCATTTCAAGAATTGCAACATAACCTGAATATTCACACACACAATCAAATTTTCACATAAGAAATACTGTAAATTTAATTAATGCAGTCCACATACCCAAAAATATTAACTTTACAATATATTTTATACAGAATACTAGCTGCACTTTACCTTTATTGAGGATTCTTGTTGGCATATGCAAGATGGGGAGGTGTTAGTGTTTGGAAGGTGAGTCCCCATCTATTATAACATCACACATTGATAAAATTTCTGGGGTACACTCTCCTACGTTTTGTAGGCATACTACTAGGACCTGGTTGTGGTTTGCTGGTTGTTTGTCTCTAAGAATCTGTCTAAAGACTCTTGGTTTTGCCTACGTTTTAACAATTGTCTAGGGAGATATGACATTGTCATTAAAAATGTTAACACAACGGCCTACTACAGCTTTATCTGGGCGAGTCTTTTCAGCAAAACATTGCCGTTCTTCCCATACTTGACACATTTTCATAGTCAGATCAACCATGCGCATACCATCTTCATGTTTCCGAGTGATCTTTTTTCTTCTATAATCATCCTCACAACTATTTTCTTAGGTTGAACTTTACCACTGACTTTCTTGGGATCCAAGATGAGAACTCTTATATAATAAGAACTTTTATGCTAAACAACAACAAAAAGTTAAAAAACAATGAAATTGTTCACAGAAAATTCAAGCACAGTTATCATTACGTGGGATACAAGCGTAAACTGATCTTAATGACTCAGACAAGTATCAGGTATGAACAAGTAGTTCATACTCTGAAGCAAATGATACACACCAGGGCATATTTTCTAACAACAATTTTGTCGTACTCCTGAAAATTCATATTCAGGTACAATCAAACACCGAGGTTCCACTGTATCTGATTGGAGGGATATAACTATTAAAGTACAAGTTGGCACATAGAATGCACAAAATTTTAATGTATGTTAATAATTAAAGTTTTCAGTGCAAGACAACTGTACCTGCATGCAAAAGTTCTTGCTTTCTTCACTTCCGTTTCCCAAGACTTTTCACCTAAGGTTTGCCATCTTTAGCAACCTTCCAATATTCTAAGATATGCCCGTGCTTGCCAGCTACACTTACCATCACCCTGTCACATATACCAATACCTTCTTATGCTTGCTGTCTCTCTCTCTTGCAACCAAGCTGAAACTCTCTAACTGTCTAGACTATTGTCCTTGACTGTGGCTCCATCACTGGTGCAGAGTAGACATTGCCTTTATAAATTGTATTATTAAGAGACTCTGCTTATTTTATTAACAAGTTTATTATTCATATTGAGGCAGTTGTATAGTGTTCCATTTATACAAATATTCATGTATCAAATTGTTGAATGGGCTTTTGCATTTCAAATATTTGTGATTTTTATTTACACTTACAAATGTCTACCAATAAGTGTCTTCAATTATTTATTAACTGTTCATAACCAAATTGTTAATGTACTTGCAGGTTTATAGTATACACCATAAAGTAATGTTGTAAGGTGACTGCACGACACTGACTCCAACACACCACTGTGTACCCTTAAGTAATGTTGTAAAGTGGCCTACATACTACTGCCACATTAACATTGGTATCTGAGTGTGTTGATGTACGTATATACAGGGTAGTAGTACTCTTTAGTGGGGAAACCACATCATTTTTATTCATCAAAATAATCATGTTAAGCTCACCGTGAAATATATCTATATGGTATGGTAATATAATTCATGAAAGAAAATGCACAAGTAATTTTCATGACAGATCCATGAAATGGTTTGTCCCTATAAAAATAAATCATTTATAGTAAATTGCTGTATTTCCTTAACACATTTTGTTTGTTTTGCATGGTTGTGTTTATTGGTCTTATTAGTAAGTAAACTTTTATGTCTGCCTGTGTATACTGCATGACCTTTCATGCACTTAGTTAGACCAGGCTTGGGCTGAACAATGCCTCGCTTGTGCTGAGCAAGACCTGGATGGTGCTGAACAAGACCTGGACGGTGCTGAACCAGACCTGGACGGTGCTGAACATGACCTGGCATGTGCTGAACATGACCTTACACATGCTGGACATGACCTTACACATGCTGGACATGACCTTACACATGCTGAACATGACCTTACACATGCTGGACATGACCTTACATGTGCTGGACATGACCTTATATGTGCTTGACATTACACGTGTTGAACAAGACATTACACGTGTTGAACAAGACATTACACGTGTTGAACAAGACATTACACGTGTTGAACAAGACATTACACGTGTTGAACAAGACCTTACACGTGTTGAACATGACCTTACACGTGTTGAACAAGACATTACACGTGTTGAACAAGACCTTACACGTGTTGAACATGACCTTACACGTGTTGAACAAGACATTACACGTGTTGAACAAGACCTTACACGTGTTGAACATGACCTTACACGTGTTGAACAAGACATCACACATGTTGAACAAGACATTACACGTGTTGAACAAGACATTACACGTGTTGAACATGACCTTACACGTGCTGGACATGACCTTACACGTGCTGGACATGACCTTATATGTGCTTGACATTACATGTGTTGAACAAGACATTACACGTGTTGAACATGACATTACACGTGCTGAACAAGACATTACATGTGCTGAACAAGACATTACACGTGCTGAACAAGACATTACACGTGCTGAACAAGACATTACACGTGCTGAACAAGATATTTCACGAGCTGAACAAGATATTACATGTGCTGAACAACACATTACACGTCCTGAACAAGACATTACAAGTGCTGAACATGACATTACACGTGCTGAACAAGACATTACAAGTGCTGAACATGACATTACATGTGTTGAACAAGACATTACACGTGCTGAACAAGACATTACACGTGCTGAACAAGACATTACACGTATTGAACAAGACATTACAAGTGCTGAACAAGACATTACACGTGCTGAACAAGACATTACACGTGCTGAACAAGACATTACATGTATTGAACAAGACATTACAAGTGCTGAACAAGACATTACACGTGCTGAACAAGACATTACACGTATTGAACAAGACATTACAAGTGCTGAACAAGACATTACAAGTGCTGAACAAGACATTACACGTGCTGAACAAGACATTACAAGTGCTGAACAAGACATTACAAGTGCTGAACAAGACATTACACGTGCTGAACAAGACATTACACGTATTGAACAAGACATTACAAGTGCTGAACAAGACATTACAAGTGCTGAACATGACATTACACGTGCTGAACAAGACATTACACGTATTGAACAAGACATTACAAGTGCTGAACAAGACATTACAAGTGCTGAACAAGACATTACACGTGCTGAACAAGACATTACACGTATTGAACAAGACATTACAAGTGCTGAACAAGATATTACAAGTGCTGAATAAGACATTACACGTGCTGAACAAGACATTACACGTGCTGAACAAGACATTACACGTGCTGAACAAGACATTACACGTGCTGAACATATTACTCGTGGCATACTATGGACTGCTCAGAATTTGCCAGCTGGCGATATTCTCATACTTACTGAAATACTGTATATTTGATTTCATATTGTGTATTTTTGTTAAAGAGTTTACTGTTTGTTTTGAAGTATTCTGGTTCCTTTGCCCCTTGTATTACAATTTGTGATTTTAATAACCATTATAATAGGATAATATCAATGCTTGAGGACCATTGTCACTTAAAATATTTGTCAAGATATTAAAAAAATATATTGTGACTAGTTTGCTATGTTCCACCTTAATGGGCTCTGTAACCTAATGTCCAGGATAGACAAGAAAATACAGTACTGCAATGTGAGACATGAGAGGTAATAATAATAGATGCGCTAAACAAAATGATAATTTAAATAATGAACTACACTTAGGGTGTGCTAAATGTGATTTGTTCTTTTATTCCTGCTGACCAATATTTATTATTCCCGTGCTACTGCCTACTTCATATTATTTACTGAGATTAACTCTTGAATATTTTATCTGAAGTCATTAGTGATGAACAAGACCTTTCTTTAGATCATTTTTTGTATATTTCACAAAAAAAATTATGATGCTGTAGACTTAGACATTCTTGGAAATTGGCTACAATGCCAATTTGGCTACAATGGTGACTTGCAATTTGTTTATTGCAACATCCTCTAGCACTTTTTTTTAATACTGAAAGCAATTTGGGGGATTATTTCATGACTTGAGAACAGCGTAGGGAATGTTGCATATGCTCTGCGTAAAGTGGAAATAACTTAAATGTTTGTGTTGCATTCAAAAGTTGAAGACAGTACGACTTTGCATGGTAGGTTGTAGTGGACACCATGATTAGTACTGTTGATGTGGTTAAACTCATCATAGCACCTTTTACTTGTTGGTTCATAATTATATACTTAAAGAAGTCAGAACTGTAGTATTTTAGGTAAAGTCCAGAAACATAGTGAGGTTTAGAATGTGTCATTTTTGTATTAAAGTGGCTTTGGGAATCATTATTTTTGGTAATGGTTTATTACAAAGTATTTATAAAGTTTAGTTTAGACATTAGTATCACATGAAAAATACAGCTTGGGAGAAATTACAATACTACGTAGTGTTATTTGAACTGTCTCTTGTCGGCATTGTGTCTGCCATACATGCGTGTATCAGAGAACAGTCATTCAGTACTGGAATATTTTGTAATTGTTAGCTGTTGCAACTCTAAAAAACAAGTAGACATTGTGCAACTGTTTGTAAACAAATTACTACATCTTAAAACTGTCATGATCTTTGTCAAATTTAATTATTGTTACTCTATTATGATTATTGCATGCTTTAGAAACAAAGTGGGAACATTTCTGGCTAGATTGTGTATCACCTACACATGATTAACTTGTGGATTCTTAATGGAGTTTCAAAGTCAAGAATGCTATGGGAGCGACATACACGTAACGGTAGTAATTGTTCAAATATCAAGTCCCTGGAAGTTATGTTTGTAGAGGAGAGTGGTTCTTGTCCTAACTGGGAACACAATCTAATTGTGTGGTTATGTCAAGATGTAATGCTGTTACCCTTATTGCCTATTTAAACATGAAATGCTAACAAAACAAGCTGGTATTATGATATTCTACTAAGGTATTATCACCACTGTACATTGCTTTATAGTTAGCTGAGCATAAAGTAAAATTTTATTTTAACATTTGTTTCTCTTATGTATTTAACAGGTACAGTAATCTTCTATGTTGTTGGAGAAATTGTTAAACTTCTAATTATTTGTATGTAGTGAGATAGAGCCAGCCGCTGCTACGAATGAGGGCTGTGTTTCAGGAATGCCTTGACTTCGTATTTTTTATTAGTATTGCTTATTACTGCATGATAACACCTACCTGAATAGTATTATTAAACAATAAAGAGGAACAATAAAGTACAGTACTTAATTGAATATTGTTACTAAATACCCATGTCAATGTTCCCCCTTTAAATATAATATATAAAGTAGATTTGCATTCCCATAACAGAATGAACTATATTTTTAATTACTTCATAGAGGCATTTCTGGGTGCAGAAGGCTTGGAAATAGTCATTATGCAAAATGTAATACATAAAATATGAACCCCACAATAAACAAACCACGCACGATGCAGGTTTTTTTTTTAAGTAAATTTTGCACTCAAAACCTTTATGAATTGAGGGGCTTCCTGTAGCAATCTACCCTATAATATCCTTTTCATAATATATTAAATTATATTGCAGGAATTCCAGTGCTTGTAATAACATTGCCGAGAAGATGGGGGAGCTAAAATTATACTATATTAAAGTGAACAATATGGTAGCTGCAATTAGACCAGAGATGCCTTTACATGACCTTAAATGGTGGGAATGCCACAACTTATGAGCATATACTACAAGAAAAATAGCTGAATAATAAAGCTTAGTGATGCAGCACCACTGTAGGTCTGACTGTAAGAAGCAAGTTCTAATCAAATATTATAAAAGTTTTATCATAAAGTCATTTATGTTATACTGTCCAAGTGATTTGCTCTGTGTCTGCCAGCTGACATCAACTCACTTAAAAAATTAAAATGAGTTGTTATGCAGTCCATAATATTTGTAAGGAAAATGTGTTAGAAGGGAGTCATCTATGGCAGATGTGGAGCTATATAGTGATCATTTATGTAGGTTGTACCATGCTGCTGCACTTTCTTAACTAACTAGTTTATATGTAGTTACTTATCTGAGGACTTCAAGGATGTTGAGAAGTACCTCTGTCCTGTTACAACGTGTCATGTCCAAATACCAAAATGAACTTGGTAGTACAGTATTTAGCTTTATATTTTGTACAAGGTATTGACCTCCAAACAGATCCGTCTTATAAAATATGTTTCTGCCTTCCATTGCAGCTTTCTTAAATTGCTGGAACATAACAGCAGCTTAAGGCTAATGATGTGATAAATACATCCACTTTTCATGTATATATAGTATCACTAATAACTGTTTCTTTTAAAAGTTTCTTTTACTCGAGAAAAACGTTTTATACACTTTAAATTTTCAAATTTTTGTTGTTCTTAAATTGTTAACTATTGTATTATTTTGTGGTAAATCTCCTGTAGCCATAAGTGCTTTATGGTATTATTGATTTACCATCCAGAGTCCCAAGCTGTGCCTGGATTTATGTAATGAAATAGTAAGGATTTGCAGACTAGTGCATCATGATGAGTCGGTGATATGCTGAGCACTGGCCCACACACCAAAACGCAAGAACTCCAAGGTAGTGGAATACACTTTAGTACTACCATAGTAATGCCTGCAAATACCTCACAAGGATGTTACATCTCGTGTCACGATGCCTCTGTTGACAGTGTAGAAGTACAATGTTGGTATCCTCATTTGTACTTTTACATAATTTTGTACATACAAAAGTTTAGCAAAATAAAAGTCGTAGTCCTGTATGATGTAACCAAACATAAGTCTTACTCTCAGTGTTGGTATTATTACTCAGAGAAGTTTGGTAATATTAAGCTAATTTTAATTTGTCTTGATTACTAGTGTGTTAAATATTTTGTGGTAAATTCATTAAATTTATCATTAAATTTTCTATGCTGTACTACATTTCCTGGTACATATTGCTAGTTGCACTTGTCATCTATCATATTACATTATATAAACGATATATTCCTGTGATATAACCAATATCATGGAATGTCACAGACTGCCAATCATATTAAACAAAAATGGTATTTAACTAAAAGTGAGTTGTGGTATACTATAGTATATGCATTTTGAATCTATTTAAATATCATTTGTAATACATTACTCTGAGCTAAATATTGCTTAATAAGAGTATTTTATTTGACAATTGCATACAAACACCAACACATAATTGTGTCCAGTCAGTGTACAAGATGTTCTGTATCCTTTAACATATGTATGTAATGCCTTAATACAGACATGCATGTGATATTAGAGTAACGTCAATAATGTTGGACCATTATGGGATGACATGTTGTGTATAATAGTCACACCAGCAGGTGTGATTGACATTAGTCTGAGAATGATGATTTATTATAAAGGCATGATGGCTGTAATACAGTACTGTACTTAATGTTTATTTTAACAATTGCAATTTATTGGTTGCATATGTAATTCAAATATTATTGTACCTTACTATATATTGCCAATTACATAATGGCCTCCCAAAGTTAACAATTATCAACTTGTGGTAATATTAAACTTTCCTGTCATTCTTTTTAATGAAAATTTGTATTTATATGTTTCTCTGAGTGTATGCCAAATGTTTTATACTTATTGATACAGTACTTATTTTCATTCTCCGTAGTGTAATGGTAAGACACTCCCCTGGCGTTCCGCAAACGCTTTGTCATGGGTTCGTATCCTGGCCGGGGAGGATTTACTGGGCGCAAATCCTTAACTGTAGCCTCTGTTTAACTCAATAGTAAAATGGGTACCTGGTCGTAAAAACAATTCTTCATGGGGGGTCGTATTCCAGGGACCTGCCCGAAACGCTACGCATACTAATGGCTGTACAAGAATGTAACAACTCCTGTATGTAACAACTCCTTATCATAAACCTACAGAAAAAAATTAGTTTTTTTTTAACTGATCTAGATATTTCTAAATAATTTACTGTATTGTACCAATAATGTGTGCGATTTTCTTCTCATTAAACATAATACTGTATATTTGTACCATAATTAACCTGGTAATGGTAATAGAAATGAGGTAATTACCAAGCAAATAGGTTTGAATCCTCTTCATGGCACCTACTGATTGTTTTCACTGATACATCACATTAATGTGATTTCATTATACATATTTGTACAACTTTAGTTCCCCCCTTACCCCCTTCATAATGGCTTGGTGCTTTCTCCTGATAGTTCCCTTCCCTTCCCCCTTACTCCCATGAGCACTGTACCTATTTTTTACTTACCTCAAAAAATGTAAACGTCGAATAAACTAACCAGTATACATACAGGATAAACTAGAGAAAATTTTATTCTGTAGTGTTACATAATTTTTTTTTTTGTTTTTTGCAGGGATATTCTTGCGTGGGCCCTAAGCCTCTGACTGGCCCACTAAGTGTTGCTTGTTTCTGTTTTACTTGGGCAGAGTATGAGTATTTATGACTTGTATGGTCGCTTCAGTAAGATTTTGCCATATGTGTTTAACAACTTCTGCTCTGTTGAATCTAAGTTGAAATCTTAATGGGTTTGTAACTGTGCACAGTGTTAGATAATGTTCCAGTGGTCTGTCGGGCATTTCTCCACAGTGCTGACATTTCCTCTCATCTTCCAGAACCTGTAAGCCTATTCCCATGTACATGGGTATCCAAGCCTGATGCGATGTAAGTGTACTTCTGTTGTTCTACTGCTCCCTTTCATCAAACTAAGTGGTCCGTAGTTGGTTGAATTCTCATACCAACCCACAGATCCTGATGTTGCAACTGCTGTGTTGTGGTCACTATACATCTTTTGCATTGCTCTGTTTCTAATTACTTTCTTAATCTGTGATAGACTCTGTGGTATGTAAATGTCTACATTTCTTCTCTTAGTTGCAAGTATTGCAGCTTCTTCTGCAATGTCATTTCCTATTATTCCCACAAGACTTGGCACCCAGTTGATAAGTACCCGTCGGCCTTGTCGTTTGAGTGTTTGCATTAATTAATATGACATTTGTGATCAGATGGATGTTATCACGTATGTGTTCTTGTTGCAAGGTTTCAATGGCAGTTCTCGAATCTGTATGTATGATAACATGTTGCCGGTGTTCAGCAAGAGCATGTTCCAAAGCCTTTTGAATGGCTAGCATCTCTGTTTGTAAAGTCAAACACCCATTTGAGAGTCTCCAACTACTTACAGAGTTTCCTGCTTTAACTGCAGCTCCAGTTTCTTGTCCCTGCTGGTCTACTGATCTATCTGTGAAGTAAGTGAAGCTGTCGGATGCCAAGTTTGCTTCTATATGCATCTGTGCAATGTTACGTAGCAGATGAGGATTTGTCTGGTTCTTTTTCCCTTCAAGAACCATAATCTTAGTCTGCTGGCAGAGATGCCCAAGGTGATTGCATAACAAAGTCTGCATGTATTTCGTCGACACCCTTCTCAGTGATTGTGTTTGTTATATCGAATGTATTGATGGTGTTTATCGCACAATTGCTCCACCTGGTGCTATTGGAGGCTCTTCTGTCCAGAGTTAGTGCTCCAGTGATTATATCTTTAAGTGAACTGATTCTAGGTCTAGTCAATATCTTGGTCAGCATGCATGCAGCAATCCCTTTTACCCTTATTTAAATCGACGTTAGCTTGGTTTCTAGTCTTATGTTAAGTATTTTACTCCATCTGGGAGCTCCTGTTATGATTTGCAATGCATCGTTTTGAATAACCTCAACGTTTACCCACTAACCAGGAGAAAGAGGGTGTAATGGCCTCTGATTTGCAATACAAAGCGGAGATGTTTCTGAAAAGGGGGGCAAAGAAACAATTGCGCAGCGTGCCCCGTGCAGGTGCGCGGGAAGTCTGGGGCCATATAAATTCCGGGGCAGAGAGGGGCTCTCTACGGGAGACATCTCCCGTCACGCAGGGTGCAGGGTGCAGTCGCACCTCCACAGATCTCCAGTATCATCTATTGATACTGGAAATGGCTCAAAAGGGCCACCACCTATGGGCTATTCATGCCCAAGCCACCTTTTGGGTGGCTTAATCTTCTCTCTCTCTCTCTCTCCACTTGGTCCGGACGGGAGACATCTCCCGTCACGCAGGGTGCAGTCGCACCTCCACAGATCTCCAGAACAGCTCTTGATACTGGTAATGGCTCAAAAGGGCCACCACCTACGGGCTATTCATGCCCGTGCCACCTTTTGGGTGGCTTAATCTTCATCAATCAATCATCTTGGGCTCTCTGGCATTCTCCACTCTCGGGCATGAATAGCCCGTAAGTGGTGGCCCTTTTGAGCCATTGCCAGCATAAAGAGCTGATACTGGAGATCTGTGGAGGTGCGACTGCACCCTGCGTGACAGATGTCTCCCCCGTGAGAGAGCCCCGATTGATAAAGATTGATAAAGATTAAGCCACCTAAGAGGTGGCACGGGCATGAATAGCCAGTAAGTGGTACATTTTTTTTTCTCAGTATTCTGAGGTTGCATTTAACCATCAAGCTGTTATCGCGGGGGAGGATACTGCTTCACAGTCTTTATGAGGGTGTCCAGCTGCTGGACACCTTTGTTGACCAGGAGAGTGGCTGTGTTGATGGCTTCAGGGTGGCCACTGCATGATCCAGGAACTCTTAAAGCTCTTCTAAGGTCATTGGTTGCTTCACATTCCAGAAGATAGTGAAGTAATGGCTTTTCTGTGACAGTTTGGCAGAAGATGCACTCTCTCTGTCGGGGTTCACCAATCTCCCAGTTGCATCTGTAACCTAGACGTAGTCTATATAACCTAACTGCTATTTCCCTGTGGATTCCTTTTGGGATATTTAACCTTTCTAATTTGGTTGCCTGAAGATACCATGTTGCAGATGGCGAACCTTCAGCTATTCTCTGGTGCAGATAGGCTTTGTTGAGATGTGAGAGTTTTTTGGTGATGATGTTTTTTTATGTTCTCTAGGCTGGGTTGAATTGTTTTATGTATCACTGGATGACGAGTTGCCAATTTAGCAATTTCATCAGCTTTTTCATTTAATGGGATTCCAATATGGGATGGGATCCAGTTTAAAGTTATGTTGAGGCCTTTGCCTTTAGCGACTGCTCCTTGATACAAAATGGTGGTAATTATTTCCACATTATCTTTCCACTGTTTTTGTCCTAGTATTTGAAGTGCAGCTTTTGAGTCTGTGTGTATGATTGCATTTTGAGTGTTTTGTGCAATCACATATGCGAATGCCTGTTGTATGGCAAACAGCTCAGTTTGGGTTGATGATACTAGTCCTCCCAGTCTCCAATATGCCTGTACGCTGGTCGTGCAAAGAGCAGCGCCAGCACTCTGTCGGCTATTCACTTTATGCTTGCTTATATTCGGTGACTACACCTCAGCTTCCTCCACTAGGATAGGAGGATGGAAGAACTGTTACCTGTAATTAGGGAAAAGATTATAGCTTCTGCAATTAGTGCTAATTAGATACGTCATTAAGCTAATGAGAAGTTGGAGTGAGTATATTGTTTGTACTCGCAACAAATCTGTTTCCGTGTTTATTTCCCTCCCGTTTTTTGTATCATCGGCAAATTTGCAAATATTGCTGCTCAAACCTGAACTAAATCATTTTTATATATTATGAATAACAGAGGTCACAGGACAGAGCCTTGAGACACTCCACTTACATTTTCCCACTTTGATTTAACCCCATTTATACTAACTTTGTTTCCTTTCGTATAGCCATGCCCTAATCCAACTTAATATAGCACCCCCCCAATACCATGAGCCTCTATCTCTTTAATCAATCTTTCATGTGACACTGTATCAAAAGTTTTGCTAAAGTCAAGGTACACAACATCACATATCTTACTACTACATGAGACATCTATATATTAACTTGCCGACAGGATTGCTATTTATATATTTACGGGCTCACTGTAGCCCACGCTACATGGAGTAGTTTCGTTCTACTCCACGCTACATGGAGTAGCTAAATCTAAAACAACAAACAACAGGAGAGCTATTCACAGAGACCCAGGTGTTACACGGCCAAAGATGACATTCACTCTAAACATCTACCACCTACAGGCTGTTCATGTCTGTGCCACCTCTTGTTGTGGCTTAATCTTCAACAATAACAGGAGAGCTGCTCAGTTATTCACCACTTTGACTATGCATTAGAAGGTCTCTTGTGTTGTCTTTAATGTGGCACAATGAATGCCACATAACATTCTCCAATAGCTCAGGATTTTCCTAAACTCCCATTATTTATCAAGGCAGAAATTGGAGCCTTCGTTCAAGAATTTCTGTAGACCAGTTTTTACAAGCATTAAAGATGACAGAACAAAATTTTAGAGTTTGGGATAATATTGGTTCATTGAATGTAGTTGAGAGCAAATTCCAGCTTGGAATTTTATGGATTTTAACTCTCTCCGAGCGTATGAAGACTATGTTGGTCAGGGTAACAGGGCAATGGGAGGACATCATTTGGGAAATTTTGATTTAGCAAAACACTGGAAGCCGGGCAGCAAGCTAAATTTTGGCTCACTCGGACATACCAGCATGAGGCCCTGGATACTCAGTGTTCACCGACCCCGCACTCTGCCCCAACACCCACCTGCGGCTGGAGATGCTTCACTTCGACGGCATGTGGCCACAGACGTACCTTCGCGACGTCACGTCGGGCAAGCAAGCAGCTTTAGGGTTGGTGAGCACGAATACATACATTTATTTTCTTACATTCTTACATTCTTCTTACATTCTTGTATAGCCACTAGTACACGTAGCGTTTCGGGCAAGTCCTTAATCTTATGTTCCCTGGAATACGTGACTCTGGATCATCTTATATCCGGCTGCTTACAGATGAATATTTTTTTACTCTTTAATAAGGGTGTTAAAGAGCCTTAATAGATAGGGACATATAGATGCAGTTGCTGCTGCAGCCGTTGACCAGGTGAGGAGACTTCAGGTGGGGCCAGAAGCATCCTTTTCCAACCATCTGATGCACCTACTGAAGAAAAAGGCGGAGGCTCCTCAAGATGAATATCAAGCAGATT